AAAGAGAGCATCTGTAGATTTCTTTAAAATGGAGCAGTTAGTCCAGCTTCCCCACTGTTGTTTAAACAATGAACTTTCTTTTTTGACATTTTCATCTGTGTCAATAGAAGAAACAGCCAAAGGCCACTGCCACACAGAAGAGGCTGTCCTAGAGGAAATGAGAAAAATGACAAAACTATGAGAAGAGCAAAATGACAAATTTGGTATGTAGCATGGCGAGGATTTGTGCTACGTTTAAAAAAAGAGAGAGGAAAAAAGAGCAAGTTTCTAGATACCCCCTAACCTGAAAATAAGCCCTAGTAGGATTTTTCAGGATGCTCATAATATGAGCCCTACCCAAAAATAAGCCCCAGTTAAGTGAATCCCCCACCCTTCATCCTTGTGCAGCAATCAGAAGAAGATGGCAGGACTGTAAAATAAAACACCTCTTGAAAATAAGCCCTAATGAGTTTTTTGGAGCAAAAATTAATATAAGACCCTGTCTTATTTTTGGGGAAACACGGCATTACAAGAAAAGCCCTCTATTATCCTATGAGCTTTAGCTGGTGAAATCTCCAGCGCCAGAGATGGGTGATGCTTGGGTTTACCTTTAAAACCTAGGGACGGTGGACCTCAAAAGAAACACCAGCCCTGATAATCTCCCTATAGTTTTTCTGCTGCTCATACACTCACCAACCTTCGCTGCCTGGATTTGTATAACACTGGAGAAAAGTCCTCCTTCTCTTCCTGAAGACTGGACTTAGCTTTCGAGTGATTATACAAGCTCTAACACTACTATTTTTCACACCACATTTGGGGACAATCCCTTCTACACATGAAGAAATTCCTTTGTCTCTCTTGAAATCTCCCATTGTTTGAAGCCATGTTAAATGACTCAACGTTGTGCTATTATGAGAAAGGGGAAAAAAAAATCTCTTTCTATCCAGTTTTCCTACATGATGGATAACTTTATCCGACTCTATTAGGTCGTCCCCCCTTAGTCACCTTTTTTTCTGAACTGAGAAAGCTCTAAATCTTGCAATCTTTTTTGCACAGGAGCGACCCTAAGCCTGTCATCCTTCTTCATACTCCTTTTTTGGCACCTCTCTGTAAACAACCCATCTTTCACGATCTGCTCTGTTGTAAAATAACTGGGCAGAGGAAAGGTCTGCCTCAGGGGGTAAATCCTTGGGTGCTCTGATCCTACTTGAACTAAAATGAAGGCAAGCAGGCGTGGGATTTGTGTGAAACAACAGTGGACTTATTTCTGGTACTGAAACAACAAAAGAGGACTCTACTCCTTAATTCTAAGAGGGCGTCCGGACACCACATGACAGCTGTTTGATCCCACTCTAACTTTTATGTCTTTATGTCTCATACAGGATCCGGTTATTGTCATCATGGGAAATCTGTTTCCCCATTGGAATGCATTAAAACCCGTTTAATGTGTTCCAATAGGGAAAATACCTCATCGTCCAGGAAAGATCGGCCATAGAGTGGTCGCAAGACCAGATAGGTGGGGTACAAATAAAATTAAAAAATAAATAAATAGGGAAGCCATTTTGTGAGCGCCGATCAGGTGTAAAAATGGCTGTCCTGTGAAGCATGTGTCCAGAAAACACAGGGTAGCTGTTTTGCGAAGCTGATGATCAGCTGTAGAAATCATCGTCTTGCGAACGGTTCGCGAAGCACGGACCAAATCGTTGTCAAGCGAAAATCCCCCATTGGAATGACTGTTTTGCGAATTGCTATAGCGATCATAAAGTCATCGTTATGCAGATTCATCGTTTAGCAGGGTCGTCGTCTTGCGAAGTCCCACTGTATGTATTTCTAAAGGTGAAGTTACCAAAACTGCCCAATAGAGGGAGCCAGAGAGTATAGCTTTCACTTTTTAAAATAGCTTTGGCTATAATCCCTGTTTTTCAGCATCTGTGGTGGGGGATGGCTTGAAACTGTTCCCTCATGGAAGGGGGGGGGCTGCTGTATTCTCTAAAGTAGAGATTCATGCCCATGTAAGGACTCCTTTTTTTTCTCCTCCCATATTCAGTCAATAAATCTGACTCTGGCAGATAGTTTTTTGGGCTCAAGTGAAAAACAAAGAATGCTTCAAGTCTGACTGTTCCCATTAAAAGGGTCAGGGACACTTAGAGTGCTGCATCAACTAATAAAGAATTGAAATTAATATTAGTAATGTATAAGGCTGCATTGCCTTCCCCCCAAGCTTACAGGAGGATTCAGGAAGCAGACCCAACTCCAAAACAGGACAATGTAGATTAATTAATAAATATATATATATATTTTAAAAAACAAAGCACTTACATTCATGAAAACATCCTGAGCATAGTTGTCTGTGTCCGCATCCCAGAAACACCGGGCGGCCATGCTGGAGGAACAAACACAGGCCATCCATTCATAAGGTGAAGGGAAACATTTTTCACATCTCATTTCACAGCTCAGCCCACGTGAAAAGGTAAGACAGGCGGCTGACATTGAAACAGACCGACTCCGTTGTGGCATCTTCTGTGAAAAGGTCTTTCAGCACCATTTAGAAAGCCCAGGAGCCTCCTTTACCAACAGACCTTGAGCCATAGATTTTTTTTTTCTGTTTAAATTGCATTGTGGTTTGTAACATCCTAGTGGCGTAATATTTTGATGCCGTTTGGCTTGCCTGATTTGTTTTTATGGTACAATTTGTGCTTTTATGGACTGCTTTTGTCTTTTACTAACATTGGTTTAAACAGCCCAAGGATGTCGCCAGTTGGGTTATATACAAATGAGACAAACAAATAAATAAAAATATGGTGCTTTTCTATCAAGTGACATTA